ACTCGTTTGGACTAAGTCAACACGAGCGGGCGCGAACGCGAGTTGTTCTGATAAGTGCACACATACACACACAACACACAAACGATAGACAAAAAGCAATCAAGCATTGGGGTAGTGTAAAAAAAAAGAAAAAGGTTCAACCTTTCTTTCTTCCTATATAGTAGAGTATCAAAAAAACGCGGCGGGGGCGATAGCGGGCACGTCCCTTTTTGTCCCGATCAAGACGAAGAGAACAGAACAAGAAGAAGAAGAAGTAATAGCGGTAGCGACGCAGTTGAATTTTCTATTACTACTAGTAGAATAGTAGCTTAGTAGACGATGTCGTGGGTCGTCACTAACGCAACAATGATGGTCGAGCCAAACGGTCGACGACGACGCGGGCAACCGAGGATAATCATCGCCCATCAATAAGGAGGAGAAGAACAAAAAAGAAGAAAAGTTCGTGCAGACAACATCTATTGGAATGTCTTCATGTAAACAAAACTACTACTATAGCTATTTGACAACAATATAATGTCATCGTGCACGTACATATCATTCTCATAGTTTTAAATCAAAAATATAACAACTATTTATAGTTTACAACGATAGAAAAATGAGAAAATAAATAATGCATTTTAATTCCTATCTATAATACTCACTAGTTTTTCTTGCATTCTTATGCATCACACATCGTGTCTACTACTTTTTGGAGCCTTGCAACATCACATCCATCCACACATCACATAGAAAATAAGAGAAAGAAAAGAAAGAAAAAAAGAAAAAAAAAGGAAGACTGCTTTCTCGTTATATTTTGCGACCGAATGAGTTATATGTGTGCATATGTAGTGCACAGTGTTGGATGAATATTTTTCTTTTTTTTTCTTTACCACCATTAACGCAAGCAAGCAAGCGCACGAACGAACAAAAAGAAGAAGAAAAAAAATGCCGCACTCTCGTTGGCGGACTCAAAGCGCGTATGGAGAAAAATGTAATTTGATCATCGTCATGCAGACTCTGGCTGATTGATGATAGATGTAAAAGAACGACAGACAGCCGACAGAGAGAGGAAGAGAGTAAACGGTGTGCACAGACACGATGGACATGGCCTTCACATGACAGAATATTTCTATTGGTTTATTAATAATTTTTCGTTCTCTTGTCGGTCTATTTGTGAATTATGTTGATATTATCAATTGAAAAAAAGAATGTATGTAAAGGCAATTAGGGACAAATGGAACAAAATAAAAATAATGATTTCATGTACTTTTATAGAAACTCGGAAGCTTTTAGCTAGAAATTGTAGTCACGAAGAGAATAGATAAAAATAGAACATAACTGACTAGGAAAACAAATCGCATCGTACCTATTATATATTATTTGCTTAATCAATGGTGTCACTTAGAATGATTCTTGAGTATTTGTACAAAGAATCTGATATAAGTACTTGAGGAAAAAAAGTATGCATTCAATTCGATTTATTTGTTCATAATTCGATACGCCTCGAATGACAGTTGTAATCATCGTAATTCCGAAAAAAATCATTCAAGCAAAGTTATTAGAGGCATTCATGATGGAACTATGCAAACGTCGACCAGTGTTGGTCCGTAGCAAAGGAAAAGTATCTTTCTTCTAACAGAATGTACAGAAAAAAAGAACCCTCACTTCTGCTGAGAAAAAACAAAAGCTCTCGCGAAATTGGGAGATATTACAGCACTGATATCCCTGATCAGACTATCACGATCGCAGTCGCAGATTAGATGTATATCAATTTTTCATGCATAATTTTTAAATAAATTGATTAAGTTTCTTAAGTCTAAAAGTTTATGCGACAATAGCAGACAAGAAAAAGCAAGATTTTTGATAGTAATTGAGTACATCGTTTTTTTTCCTATCTGACCTCATGTGTATGAATTTTCATTTTTAATATGCAGAGCTTGCTTGACCGGAAGACTGTCGGCATTAGAACAATTCCTTATAATCAAGATAATTCTCTTTTCTACAACAACTGTCGTCAAAAAAAAATCATATCTACATATTCTTTCTTTAAATGCAATGAATGTTGGGATATTCAATCACTTACTTTTAGATCCATTTATTAATCCACTTTCTTTTCTATTTTTTTGAAAGAAATTCAGTTGTGATTAAGATATAAATATTAAAATCATAGTTTTAAACTTATCATTGACTGGCTACGGAACGCAAAACAAGAAAACAATAGAGTCTTTTTTTTAATCTTTAATTAATGATTCGGTGATCAAATATAAGAATTTATTGGATGATTATAATATATGAAGAAAGATTACTTACATTTTTTAACTCTCTCTCTCTCTACACATATTTTTAGTTTAGTTGTTTGCTAAGTTGACTGAGACAAAATGGATTTATCAAATCTGTGTTCTACTAATAATAAAAATATTCAATTGCATACACATGACTGCAAGCGTTTTAAGATATTAAATAAATAGAATCTGTTGCGAAATTATTCTATTGATTATAACATGAACGATGAGATAGATGCTGGGATTTAGTTGATTTTCAATAATAAGGAGGCACGTGTATGTATTTGGGTGTATTGTAAAATGGTTAATATATTTTCGATATGGTCACATCGGGTATCATAAAAAACACTTGAAATCTAGTGAGATAAGTACTAATTGAGAAACAATCGTTATGTTAATCGCATCTGTTACTTTCGAGAAGATATTGATTTTGCTTCTCTCTATTCTCAACATCTTAAGAATTCTCCGTTTCAAAAATCGATCTGCAGTAAGATATATTCAACGTTGGGACTGTAGTGCAGAGACTATGTTAAACTTTTCATTCTGTTTTCGGGAGATATTTAACAAAAAAGGGTCAAAATACCTTATTTGCTGATCTAAAATTCTCTAAGGGCTCTCATTCTATACAAGGAATTTTTTTATTTGAAAGAGCATGTCAGACTGCTGGTCTTTTATTTTCATTCTTATCTTTTACACGAAGAAAAAGGATAAGAAGTTCAATATCTCGAAAAATGCTAGAAAAAATAGTCATTTACCTATAAAAATACTTTATTGATTAACTAATGAAAAAGCTTAATTCAAAAAACAATGACTGTGTTAAATACAAGCTGTTTCGACAATTCTATGATATTCGATCAGAGAAGAAAAAAAGCGAAGAAAAAAAAACTCTTGTTTTTTCTAAAAAGCACAGAAAGTGACAGAAATCATCGAAAATTTTTGGAAAAACTATGTATCACATAAAAAATCATATTGTTTATGAAAGATGCGACGTCAACCTATTCTTCTATGGATTCATCCTAATTCCTATAATTCTAACAGAAATGGACTCTTTTTGTTTTTGGCAAAAAGTTTTAAAGAATCTAGAAAACAGTATATACAGACAGTATTTTGTTAATTAATTTATTTAAATGAATAACAAAAGATAAATGATCTTGTCGATTTTCACGACAACATAAATGCTATGATTCGTTTTAATCATATTTTTTTTTCAAACATTCAATTCACTATGTCAACTATACAACAATAAAATTCATGTCAGTTCTACATTGATAATATAGTTAATTTGAAATGTACATAAACCAATTACTCTAATAAAAAAACACTAAATACATTGCTTTTTCCTTTTTTCTTTCTTTATAATCAATAAACAGCAATCATTGGTATATCAATCTGATTATTTATACATTGAAAATATTTAACATGGTCATAAAAGTGATTGAGAGTGTTGTACACGTTAAAAAGAGTTTGTGTGTGCCTCGAAAAATCGATCTTCGGTTCTATGCCGTGACGTTATCGAAAGATATTCCACAAACAAAGATCGAAAATGATTCATTTGATAATTCAAAATTCTCTGTGGTCTGTCAGTTTATATACTTAATTTTTTTTCGCTTGAAAGAGCATGTCAGAGTGCAGGATATGACGGAGTCCTTTTTTAATTATGGTGTTTTTAATCGTAGAAAAGTTAAATGTCTCAAAAAATGACGGTCTAGTTATAAAAGTACTTTTATATAATAGCAATAAAGTTTAATTCGAAAAAGGGATTCTATCTTGTCCTCAGCAGCGGATCTAGGAAATTTTCAATATGGGGCGATTTTCTGAAATAGGGGCGAATATGCTCAGAAAACGTCTTTTGAAGCTCTAAAGAGGTAGTTTCAGCTCAATTTTAAGCGTTTTCTACTAGAAAAAATCGATCTTTTGCTGTATCGATCGCCCCCCCCCCTGCCAAAATTCGTCACTGCTTGTCTTACTTCTTGACATGTTCTTTTAAACTCAAAACACAATTAAATATATACAATAATAGCCTATGGAACACTCTGGGTCGCAAGAGCAAAAAAACATATTTTTCAAATAGCAGATGATGAAGGTCATGAAAAATTTTGACAAAAAAGAAGTGGCAAATATTTATGAAATATCAGATTTTCGAACTATTTTTGTATTCATTGATTTCAATTTTTATTTTTCTGACGAAAATCGACCTCTTTTTCAAGTAGAAGCTGATAGAAACATTAAATCGTTCAAAAAATAGCTTGAATTATATTAGCTTTCGTTTACTTTCTAACTTATTGTTGTTAAATTTCATGTCACTTTCTTTCATTATTTTCATTTTCGTGCCCTTTAATTTAACGGTCACATTGACTCCAATGTGAAGCATGCAATCATATGTTTCAAACTTATTTCTGATTAAAATAATGATTAATATCGCTTCATCTAGACATCCGTCTATGTCCTTTTACACTCTCTTATTTCAGGTTATTTCTTATTACACACCATAAGACATCAGTCATTGTCTTGAACAGACATTACTAATGACTTATAACAAGGAGAAATCTGCTTTTGATTCTTTTTTGACAGATTTTTAAGGAGCAAAGAAAAAAAGAAATGATAAGACAGATAAAAAAAAGTATTGTGTTTGATTTCAGTAATAATAACTGAAAAAGAAATTTTATTCATTAGACAAAATTTGACTCAAGTGACAACAATAAATAAATAAATAAATAAATAAATAAATAAATGCTTATTTCACGATGAACTATTCTCCAAACTTAATGAACGTATTGTTTGGTCAACAATATTTCCAACCATAGTCCAATGTTTTTGTACATTTAAGCCATCAGCCATTCTTTGAATCATATCCAAAATACTTTGAATTAATGATAAAAATCTTATTATAGCTTCATTAAAACCATATTGATAAATTAAATATTTCCAAAGCATAGTTACAATTAGATCTTGTATTTCTATTAAAATTTTTGGATTAAATATTATTTGAATATTTTCAGTATAATTTATTTCAACAAGAGCACAATTACTTGAAAATGACATAAGCATTAACATTATTTTGATTAATGTTCCATTTTGTTGTAAACGTCGACTTGCTTGAATAACACTCTTTGAATAACCATAACCATAAATATTATCTATAAATTTTGAATATATTTCATTTTCAAATATATTCATTTGTGTAGCAAGAAAAAATGCATTAAAACCACCAACAGCATTTAAATTACGCTTGATTAGTGCTTGACGAAAACTAACAGATAAAGATTGAAATAAAGGACAACGTCTGATAAATACATGTATAGATGAAAATAAAGATCCAATATAATTAAGAGTATTCGAGTCTTTAGAACGAATTTTAGGTGGTAAAGAAAATTGTTGTTTAAAAAAATCTTCTGTTTGTATAAGTAAATTTTGTTCATCATATGCATTAGTTATATTCGATAGTAGATTCCATTCATCTAACGTTAATGTCGAACGATCTTTATCAAGAAGACTAAGGGACCTTGGCTGAAACATAACATAATTAGACACAAATAAAAATATTTATTCAAATAAACCTTTGATAATTGAATTGTTCTCTTTCGTTCATGAGAATGACGAATTAATTTTACATCCATTCCAGCTTGAAAACATCGTTGTAATCGACATGGTAAACAACATTTTCGTGTTTTTCGTGTTATACTACATTTATGATCAAAACGGCATTGTTGTTTGAACTAAATAAATAATATGTCAAAGAATCTTTTTTATTCTGTAATTATCTCACTAATGATGATTGTGCATGTCGGCGAAAAAACATTTTACATGACATACATGATATAACAGAAAAATTTAGGCCACGTGCTATATCACCACATATACGACAGATCAATGGAGATGAAACTTTTTGTTTAAATTTTGAATGTTCTAGATTCATTATTAAAACTTTTTGGATTGATAAAATTTTTGAAAAGTATTGAACTTCTATCGTATACAATTTACTAAAATATAGAAATAATTACATGTGAATATATTCTTAAACTTCTGTAAAAATGAAAGAGAATGTTTAGCAATACCCATTAGAATATGGAGCACGTCTTCATGTTATTTTTGCAGTAAAACTACGGAATATAGAATTGTTTAGATTAATCTATGAAATCTTATGAATGATCTTAACGGAAATGTTTTTGACAGAAAAGATATTTTTTCTTTCGAAATATTGAATATCTTGAAGAAATCCTTGTATATTATGTGAAGATAAGGAAGAAGACATCTCGATAGAGAAGCATTTCTTGTAATTAAAATTTCCAGTGTTCTGATAATTATTAGATTAATTCTTACCAAATAAGTCTAATAAAACGAGTCGTACTTCTAGAAAAAGATGCATGACTATTTTGTTTTCATACCTCTTTCTCATAAGTCCAATTATATATATATATATATTATAAATATTCATAATAATTCATGAAGATTACTCAAGAACTTATCTGCTGGAAAAAATAGTTTTTCAAAAGTTTTACAAATAAATTAAAACAATATAGCAGATTCTTTTATTTACTCGCTACAGTTGTTCCCTTGTAGTCAGGAACTAAATGTTAATAAAACAACGCTCACCACTGTGCAATATATTGCTTCTATTTTCATCTTCTTTTAGAAATATATAAAGAGAATGTAATTTGCGTTATTGTTCGAGTGAGAGGAAAAAAACGTCTTATACTTGACTGAAAATATAATAGAATAAAAGTACGTCATTTTTAAAAGTACTCTTGTAACATTTATCGAATTGAGCATGTCGCATTTTTAGGACACCTGGTGTAGATAAAAATAAACGAAATAAAACAAAGTGACTATCACTTGAAGCAAATGGCATCTACTCAAATAGATTTCTTGTATTATTATTATTATTATTATTATTATTCTGAAAAATTGTTATAAGCGAATAAATATCAAGTTAAATTTCGGAAAAGTTCATGAAATTCTAGTTAAAAAACCACATTTTTCCGAAGTTGTTTACCTGAATCAAGTCATTTAAAAAAATGATATATGAAAACAAGAAACTAGTAATATGACATCTATATGCATCATTCTTATAGCATGAAAACATGTTTATCACCATAATTTTTCTTCATGAAAGAAAAACTGAATGGCATATGGAAAAGGGTCAAAAAAACCTAAGTTAGTAAAGAAGAAAAATAGAATTAAAGATAATGATAGCTCAAATTAATAGGTAACATCATGCGCAAACAACTTAAAAATGTGAAAAAAATAATCTCAGAACGCAATAACTCAGACGCAACAAAAAAAATTCTATATCATAATAGCAAATAAAACAAAAAATAAATGAAGTCTACAATAACTGATTCAATAGAATAAAATGTTGTAATTTAACTGTAGAATAATTATTATGTTCTTTGATAGATATGCGTTTTACAGATTTTCATTGACATGAAGAGAAGATCTGCATAGTGATAAAAATAGAAGACGATTCTTTTTTTTTTCTCTCGTTTATTGAAGAAACTTCTAAGATTACGTTTCTATTCACCAGTCAAATTATTTTAGGATCAAGATATATCCTCTTCGTATGAGAAAAGGCACATTTTCCTGTTTATACTGTCCAGAAAACGAACTCATAAATACAAATATTAAACATGGTTCTCAGAATACTTAATCACACAAAACTTTTTTCTTCAGAATAAGTATTATAACTCTTAATCATGAATACATTTATTATCATTCTTATATCCATTCTTTGATAAATAAAAACAAGAAAGATTTTTTTTCAAAAGAATTCTATACATACAATCTATGTGATACTAAAAATTTGCTTTGAATATTTAAGTGAAATAACATGTATGTTAAGCACTTCAATCTCATAATTTTTTCATAGACTAGATACATTAACTAAAATCTATATTCTTTATAAAACAAGAGAGAATATTCGAGAAAAAGAACGAATTACCATGTCACTATGCATGACTAATTACAACACAGAAACGATGAATACGTTGCATGCAATTGAAGAAAAAAAAATGCTGTTTAACATGCATCTACTATTCACAGATGTATGCGGACTGCTATTTCTAAGTAACATGTAGAATAGAAAAAAAGAATCTTTTAACTCACTTCTGGTGATAAGAGAACATAGGACGATAATGGAAATATAAAAAGAAAATTAGTTTTTTATTCTTTGTGAAAAATAACATATGTCTTTAATTTTTGTGATCATGTGTTTTTTTAATATATTTTACCTATATTTGGCCTTTCAAATAATCTTTGAAATTTACTTTACAAAGAAAGAAAACCAACTAAACTCAATATCAAAATCTTTCTTTTTTTTGTCATGATGTTTTAGTCACTAGAAAGCTTCAAAAGCTTGACAAAAAAGAAATTCAAATTTATAACTACTTCTCTGTCATGTAACTAATATAATTATATTGGATAGTTCTCCTTAAAATCTATATTTGATTCAACTTTTCAAACTAATTTTTTTTATCTTGTCAGTCGAAACTAATAAGAAAAAAGATCTGCATTCTCAAATAAAATATAATGAGATATTTTTTATGACAAAGAAATTCAATCTATTGATAGTTAATAGAAAAGAAGGCAAGAAAAAAACAATGCAAATTAATTTACAAGAGTAATCTATATAAATAATATTTAAGTATCAGAAATAAGAAAGGAATGCTATGTCAAACATTACAAGGTTATCATGACAAAAAATATGGCACAATTGAATAATTTCCTTATAAATGCATGACAACTTTCAAATATTTAGAAAACACTAAACACATAAGCGTGAATTCATCGTTATTTTAACTATAATAGTCAAAATTGATTATATGTTATATACAAATATATGTGACGTTATAATTCTATTTTACTTCATTTTATCATACGCGGATGTCTAATAGTAAATTTTCTTAATATTCTTTATGATATAATTGTGTTATGAACATCTAAGCGGACATCATTTGAAAAAGAATACTAGTATTATTATTATTATGAATACTATAATAATTTACATTTTCTCATTTAACATCAAGAGAAGATATTCATCTCACTTCATGTCGAGTCGACACAAGTTCCCTTTCTCTTCCTTATATTTTATCTATATTTCAGCTGAATCTTTAAGCTATTTATTATTTTCTTTTACAATACTGTAGTATACTAGGATTATTTTCTTTCATTGAGAAGCTTATGATGATCAAAGTTATGATCAAGTGAAAGATATTGATCTTTTTCAAATAGTAGAGATTCAATAAGAGAACATGTAAAATTTGGAAGTCTTCCATCATTTCTCATATCACTATTCACATTATACTATTGTTCACATATTCTAGAAAATATTTGTATCAAAAATAACTGGGAGCAATCTTTGCTGTGTCTTCCTAAGAGTAATATCCTGCATATGGCCTATACTTAGTGATAGAATATCCTATATGACTATTGCTCTTTGGTGACTTACAATATAAATAATGTACTATTAAATTCAGGTTTTTAGAGCATGTTAAACCTTGTTCTACACATTTGAATGTAAATAGTTTGTGCATCAAGACCAGAATAGTGATGGTTGAAAATGACACAGTAAATGTGTTTCAGACGAATGTTATTAAGAAGAGGATGTAAATGAACAGAGAAGCAAACGGTCCATGAACCGGACATATATTTTTCTATTTATCGGCTTTATTTGATGTATTTTTATATATTGATAATTAATATATTTTGATTCATTATTATTTTAATAACTACTTTGACTATAAATTCCGTTTCATCAAAAACAAGAAGTAGAGTTATATCGTATTAATTATCGCTGCCATCATTTTTTTTCAGATATACTATCTAATAATTAAGAAATACTAGCTAATAACAGAAAAATATAATAAGAAACGACAGAAGTATCGGCTATTCTGTGATAATGATAAAGAAATAGCTTTTTGGAGCTTGAAATATTAATATCGTAGGTCACAATTCAAGTATGACCTGAAGGGATTCACTAATTCGAATGAGTTTTTGATGATCAAAACAATTATTGATAATTTTTTTTATTTACACTATAGAAAAGAAAAGAGATATTGACTGGTTTGTTTCAGCTATCAAGAACAAGGGAAAGAAAGATGGTTCAATCTTTATTGTTAACAGTATCAGAGGCCGAAACGGGGAGAATTTTTTGTTCCCCGCCTCGCCCCGCCCAGAAGAAAGCTTTCCCCGCCCCGCCTCGTCCCGACCTTAAATTTTTTTTCGCTTCCCCCCCCCCCCCCCCCCCCCCCCCTAAAATTTTTTTTTGTCCCCCCCCCCCCCCNCAAAATGATAATGGACTTAAATAATCATTGTCTTTATCTCCTTTGAAATCGGTATAAATATCAACTTCAACTGTTCTTATTATTGTAGATTTTTTAAAATTACTTCATTATCCATCAATAGTTCGAGAGATTTTAGAGTGTGAGTGAAGAAAGGATTTACACGCACTCACACTCTATTGTGCCACTTAAACACGGGGAAACTTCGGGGATTTAACTTAACCCGCCCGCCTCGCCCCGTCGTAACCTTTCTTCGCCCCGCCTCGCCTCGTTCCGACAAAAATGGTCCCCGCCTCGGGGTCCCGCCCCGTTTCTGTCTCTGAACAGTATCATTGTTTATCCTATCGCATACAAAATTGAGACAAATGGAAAGAAAAGAATCTATTGGTTCTTCTATTTCAGTCAATAGCCAAGCGCTAAGGAAACAGCGCAAATTGGCATCATTACGTCGCCACTGCCCATAAGTTCGTGAAATGAACCATAGGAGAATGGCGAAGCTTAATGAAGTAAAACGCCATTGTATAGCCGTTTCAGATCGTTTAAGATGCTCTCTCAGTCGTTCGAAATTATCATCCTCGGAAGAACATAGCACATAACTTGAAATTTGTCTGTTACTTAATGATATCATCGACAGCCTGAT